ATCTTTGGCATATAAATGAGCTATCTGGAAGGCTTATCAAGATTGTCAAACCTTAGCACAAGGTTTGTTGGCCGAGGTATGCAGAACACAGACAGATGTTACACCTGCCCAGTGCCCATTCCAAAGTGGAATATAAGGATACCAACACTACTGCCAAATATCACACAATATTCCTCTGCACCACTATTCTAACTTCTGATCTTTGGGGCAGCAGGTAAAAAGTGACTTTAAAAGGAGAAGGTTTTATTTAGGAATAGCAAGGACCAAGGATTGCAAGGCGATACTAAGAAAAAGGACATTTTCCACTCTTATAAATAAACTGGAACACTTGTTATCCTGCAGTCCTCAAATGGCACTGAATTTTGCAATGTAATTCTCACCTGTGTAACAATGTACGGGGGGGGGGAAGAGTGTACAAAAGGCACACATTTGGGAAAAAGTGTATTCAAAATTTTAAGTTGTACATATGCCAGGAGATATGTGCATGAAAAGATGGTTTTGTTGAATGACATTTGCAGTAACAAGATTATAACCAAAGATTACAGAAAGTGAGAGATTCATCCAATCCTAAACATAACAAATTGGCTAGAAAGGATTTCTCATTTCTTTAAAGTTTATATGGTAAAAAGTTTTGTTTTAATCACATATACATTACAAGAAGTCCCTCAAGGAAAGACAGACAAGACCAAAGAGATTATAAAAGCAGTTTTTAAAAGATTTAGATTAAAAATAGCAACTAGGGACAGTAAAATGAATACGGAGAGCCAAACTCTACATGAGAGCGTGGAAGGGAAGCAACAGTACCAATGCCCATTATGCTTCTCCCTCTTCACCCAAGACATGCCAGACAGAATTTGGCACCTGATAATCAGGTTGTACAGAAAGAACCTGATTATCACTGGCCTCAGTCATGGACATAATTGAGGTCACTACAGCACTTTTTGCTTTAAGTTTAGGTCTTTTGGATTCATTCCAAGAGCCAATTCACATAACTTCTGAGTCTACAGTAAAGCAGACTTTCAGCACACCATGGAATGGTTGCCCATTTCCAGCAGGTGTGTGAGTGTGCACTGACAAAAACCTAGAAAAATCACATTGCTGGCTGTTGCCCGATATTCGGTAATGTGTAACGCCCTTGATCTGATTACAGTTTATATTTACAAGACTAACAACTGCATTCATAACCATTTCCTCCTGCAGATATTAAGGTATATCTATTGATATCTCTTTTTATATAATCCGACCATTGAGAGAACTTTTGTTAAAAGAACACTTTCTTCAACATTCCATATTTTGTTTCGATATGACCTTATGATACATTTGAAATAATCACTCTTAGATAAATATATCTTATGAAATAAGGCACTTATAGAAATCAACTTATTCTAAATAAACATTGTTAGTTTTTGAAATCAATTAAAATGAATTATGTTAAAAGGTGCAATATGAAAAAAAAGTCACTCTCTCCCTCCCCACTTCGGAACTTGGTAAAAAAA